AAATAATTCTATCTAACAAAGAGTCATGGGCAAAAATGTGTTTAGCAATGGCAGGGCTGAAGGAAAGACTGACGCCAATTCCAATTGAACGGGCATTTTGGTTGTTACTAAAGAATGTGGTGTAATGTGGGAAGTCTCGATTAAAATTGTTGGTATTCCTTTGAAATTCATTTCTTGTAAGCCTATGATGTCGAATTGGTTTACAGAATATAAAGAGAATAGATAATTTTGTTTTGTTTGGTCATTAATGAAACGGACATTATGGGTGGCAATTCTAAGATTATGTATGGATGGAGTGTGAGAAATAGAACTACGGTTATCATTTTCTGTAGGGACAGTATTCATAATAAAATTAAATTTTTAATTTGGGAAGCTGCCGATGCAGTATTCAATGGCTTTGTCAAAGTCATCATTTAGTGGTTCAAAGATTTGAGTATCATGTTTGTTGAGGATGTTTTTGTTCAGGAGTGTAGTTTGGAGGTCATGGCATGATTGGAGTAATTGATTGAGTATGGGAGTGAATTGCGAAATTCGTTGTTGTTGTTTTTGACAGATTAAAATGAGCTGTTCGTTTGTTTGTTTTTGCAAATGAGTGGTGCAGAGATCGGTGTTGATGTGTGGAGATTTCTTATCAGCTTCCGTTGTTGAGTCAGGTAAGTTATTATTAAAGTCATCCGCCTCAGCAGGAGTGACAACTTTAATCTCAAGGGCCTTTTCTACTACAGTAAGACGTTGTTGTGAAAATTTAAATTCGACGCAGAGGTCGAAAATAGCGTTGGAAATCGAGGTGAGTCTGGATGTGACAAATTGTTTGAAGTCCGGATCGTGAATCGAACCTCCTGTTGCTGTACCATTATTTAGCTTCAGTGTAGGTAGGACTTCAGTTTCCATAAACTCGTCAAATGGTTCATCAGCCCAATATAATTTAAGTTTGTCGTTAGGCGGGTTATGGGAGGAGATATTGTTATTATTATTATTGATCTTATTTTTAGGTGGTGGGGGTGGAGGAGGTCTCCTTTTCGGTTCTTCTTGGGGATTAACGATCTGTTGTGGAGTTTTGGTCACGTGTGCAAATGTGATATTATCACGGACGGCTCCCCGTATTGGATTTCTTTTCGGTGCTGTATAATTATTAAACTGGACGGGTTGGAATCTCTGGTAGAGATTTTGCATATTACGATCCTTGGGGGACTGACGACGTCTTGTGCAAGTAGAAGCGTTATGATGTGCTGATGAACAAATTGCACATAATTTGGTCTTCAGATCGGTCTATTCCAATTTTTTGTTGTTTAAGATGAGATTTTTTATGTCCATAGCCGCTTGAACATCTTCTTTGTTAGTGAAATAGAAGAATGCGTGTTGCAAATAGTTGTAATTGGAGCGAGCTCTGGGGATAATCCATGCAGAAGCCGCAACCATGTTACCAATATCATGGAGGTCACATGGTGTGATATTTTGAGGGAGGTTCGTAAGTTTTGCTGAAAAAGCAGAGCGGGCTTGAATTTCATTTCTGGAAAGGCTACAAGGATGATAGCGGATCATGTCATTTAAGAGATAGATCCCGTCACCCTTCTTTAGTAGTTCAAAATTTGCCTTTTCGTCGAAAGTGATGGTGGCTCGTTGCCAGAGATTCCTAGTTTCCATGGTGAAGCGAACGATGTTTCCAAATTTAGAAAATAATTTTCTTAATCTTGTTTCTGTAGCATCTAGTGGTATTTCTGTAACCATTATCGACAGGACAGGTACATATGGTGCAGATTTTTTTATATCGAGGGGTTGGAACGTGGTGTCATCCATTTTGGGAGATTTGTGTAAACAAAATTCATCACGTTCATTTTTGTCTAAAAAGGTGACTTTGATGATAACCTGATTTTGTTCAGTTGAATGTCTTCCTTTTGTAGCAATAATAAATGTGTTATATTTATCATAACACAAGTCAGTGATCATTGAGATCTTTATTTGGGGGTTTGGGCCTCGAAGTTTATCCATTGGGATGTAGGCAAAAAATTTAGAAACTTGGGTTGAAGGAGCCTCAAAGCCTATAGTTGTAGTATCTAAAGTATTTTCTGACGCGTCAAAAGACTCGTCTACACTAGTCGTTGGTTTGGGTGCAGTAACATTAGATGTTGTTGAAGTTGAGACGGTAGTTTCAGGGCTTTTCCCTTTGTCGAGGTTGTTAGAAGAACTTTCTTCGACTGGGTCGACTTCCATGGTGTTGGTCTCTTCTGGAAGGATAGTTACAAGAGGTTCTTTTACATAAGTAAGAGAGAGGTCGTTGTCTAAAGTTTGCAGTGTATTCTGTTTCTTTTTTGGTATTTTGTCTGATATTGGCGACGCTGAGCAGCCGCGGTTGGTATTCTTTCTTTCTGTTTTTTTGGGCATTTTTGAAAAAAGGGAGAAAGAGTTTTTAAATTATTTATAAAAATGGAAATACTATATAATACATACATTAATTTTCTATTTTTAGTACAACTTGTGCATATGACTTTTGGTCTAAATTTTATATACTGTTAGAACTAGATAAAATTTTATATATTATATTTGAAAGAGAATATTATAGTTTTAGCGAAAAAAAACTAATAATTTTTTTTAGATTTCAGAATTTATTATATAGAATTCTCTAAAAAATAATATAAATTATAATATAAACAAGTTGTTTATATCATATTTTAATAATATTTGCAGCTTAGTGATTATAAGTATCATATAATACTTTTACTAAAAAAGCGTTATTATTGTATTAGAATTTTTTAAAAGATAATGTTTATAAAATTGCAGACTTTTAAAAGTCACTGAATATCTATTAAAAACTTTATACAAATAGGTCAAATAATTCAAAAAAATGAACAATTTTAAGCAAAAAGTCATCTGAGATGTCTAAAATGTTTTTCTTCTTTTTAGCGTTACTATTTTAGTCAAATTGTAAAATTACATAAATATACTTCAAATAATAAATAACTAAAAACCTAAAAAATACTCTATTTTTGATATTGCATTTCAGACAGTTAAAGAAAACCTTCAAGACTTTAGTCTAAAGTTTATATTTCTCATTTAATTCCTTTACTTATCCAAAATATTATAAATCATCATATCATTTAGACAAAAACTTATCAAAAAAATATTAGAATAATATCATATTTTCTAATATGTTAACATTTCAGATATTTTGTAATATTATATTAGTTTATTATAAAATTAAAGAAATAATACTAAGATGAGTTGTAATAAAATATCCCTTTAAAGTCTATGTGTAAGATGCGTTTTAGCAAAAGAAACTGACAGATTTCACATATTTACAGAGAACATAAATAATGAGTTTTACCAAAAGATTATAACTAAAATTTGTTTGAATAAATATCTCAGATTCTTCAAAACAGGTGAACATTCTAATAGGATAACAATTCTAAGTATCAAGCTAAGCTTATGATTGCTTTACTTTAAGATCATTATTCTCAAGTTCTCAATTGGCTGTCTTCTTCACTAGATCTTAATCCAATTGAGAATTTATGAGCAATAATAAAAAGAAAATATTGAGAAGAAGGTTAATATTATAGTTATTGAAAAAAATTGGTTATGCAAAATATTTTATAAGGTTAATAAGAAAAGAATAGGAGACAATTAATAAAAACTTATGTATTAATCTTATAAGGTCTATGCTAGGGTATTTAAAAATAGTAGTAAAAAGCCAAGGTTGCATGATAAAATTTTAAAATTTTTATATTTTATTATATATTTGAGGGTTTAATTTTAAAATTTGGGATTTTTTTAATAAAAGCTGAGCGAGATATTTGCCAATTTATAATTGGCAGTTTTTTTCTGTTAAAGCTGTAGAATTATATAATTCTATAATATATTTCTATTTTATTATTAATAAAATCAGATCAATTATTACAATAAGAAGAAGAAAATTAAAAGGATTATATTTATCTATTGATGACAAACAGTAAATATAAATTATTTGAAATTATTATTTAATATAAATTTTTCTAATAAAAATAATATAATGACAAGAGAAACAACATATGAATGCTTTGCAGTAAAAAGAAAACTACCAAAAATATTTTTTTACTTTATAAGCTAAATATTATTTTTTTAGTAAAATAAACCTAGATTTAACACAAAAAAAATTTTTTTGGTAGTTTACTCCTTTCTACTGCAAAGCGCTCATATATACACATTCCTAGTTCTATTCCAGAAAGATTTTTTTTGAATTTTAATTTTTCTTTATTAAGATTTTTGGAAGATATGATAAACGTTTTATAGTGAAGGATTACTAGGTTATTTACAGGGTATAATCATATATATGGACATTGAAATTCAGGTGTAATCATACGTGATTCCAACGAATGACGAAGTTCCGCCTTAATTTCCTATATCGCCATTTTTTAAATATTATATTGATAAAAGTTGTCAATTATTTTATTAAACAAATTTTTTTGTGTATAATAATTTTAAATATTAATTCTTTCCAAGCCTTTTTTTTATTTAGGAAATACTATTTCAACAAAAAGGAATATTATTCCGATTAGTAACTTTTCTACTCAAAATATAAAAAAAAAATTATTTATTATCTTTAAAATCATCACAAAACTATTAAAACGCTAAAATACCTTTTATTAGTTAGAATAAGAAAAAAAATTATTTTCTTATCAATAATAATTTCATTTCATTGGTTCATTAGAATGAGATTCTTTTTGCTCCAGTGTTTCATGCTTATTCTCAATTTGAATTGGAGGAAGCCATTGAACCGGATGTTGATTATAAATCGGATAAGATGGAAGTACAAGCTTATAAATTGTTGAAAAAAAATAAATTTCAAGTCAAACAATAAAATAATTGGTAATAATAATCTTGTGGATTAATACATACTATAGCAGTAATAATAATTCCACCAGCAAAGATTTGGAAAGTCAAGAGAATATCTTGAAGAAGAAATCCTACAACAAATCCAATAATCTAAATGATTTTAAAATAAATACTTTCGACAACATTATATATTAATATTATTAAATATTTAATATTAATGCATACCGCAAATAAGATGATTCCTGCTTGAGAAATAAATTCGGCCAATTTTTGACCTTCAAAATCCTGAAAAAAAAAAAAGATAAATTATATAGCTAAAGTTCAAAGAAAGATAAAATATTCTTACAATTGTAAATTCGAACCAATTTGAAAACATTATAGTAAATAGATTATAGACGTCTATGAAATATTTATTAATAAAAAACACTTCTCAACAGATTTAAAGTAAATCAAAAAAATAGTTATCGTAAAATGATTCCCATTTTATAGTTAATGTACAACAAAAACGTGTAACCGATTCATTTGAAATTTGAACAATTGTTGCGCAGAATGTGAGTAATGTTACACTAGTACATGATGAGATCATATAAAAGAAGGACCGACTTAAAAAAAAAAACCTTAAACTTAAAAATTTCGTTATGGCTGCTTCTGCTGTTAGAGACATGGTAGTCTTTACTGCACTTCGTAGAGCTGATGCTTTAGTAGATTATAATCTTTGCAATGACTCAACAAAAATATTTAAATTTAGAAAGCGAATAATTCTTGATGATGGAACTCTTACAGCAGATGAAAAATCAAAAGCAGTAAGAATATTAACCGAAGAATGTGATTACAATAATCTTCTCTATAATAATGGTAAAAAAAGACGATGTGGGGATTGTGATCAAGACTGTATAGCTACACTGCATTGTGAGAATTGTATACGGGTCTATTTAAGAGATAATTATATAAACTGGACTTCTGGAAATTATGATGTTGATGTCTTAATACAAAGTTGTCAATGGGAAACACTCCGCCCAGATAAAATACTTGAATGGAGGTCACGTGGAGTGATGTTTCGAGGAAGGTTTGTAAGTTTTGCTGAGAAAGCAGAGCGGACTTGAATTTCGTTTCTGGAAAGGCTACAAGGATAATAACGGATCATATCATTTAAGAGATAGATCCCGTCTCCTTTC